GCCTCTCCTTAGAGTCTGGTCGAGTACGTCCCGGAGCGAATATGCTGTGACAATGTAAATTCAGCACTCTTAGTAGTCCAAAATATCAAAAAATTAACTGTGTAAGTTCATTTTGGGGTAACGCAGTCGTGACGAGGTTTGGGAGGCTTGTCCTGATTCATATATAAGTATTGTAGTCCAATAATATTGACTTCACTGGTATGGCGCTTAACGTATAGTGGCGAGTATTATGCTTTATGCGTGCCGAAACATGCTTCAATTTGAATCCCGCCGTAGTCTTTATTGGCCATAGTACTCACATTAGTAGGTGTCCTCGACAACCCACGTCAGACCAGTCGGGTCTACCTAAGGACCGCAAGCTCGTCAGGAAATGTTGGAACGATTCTCAGTTAATCAGTTACTTAAAACTACACTCTTGCCCATCGCTGGGAGCCTAGCATGGTTCAGGCAAATCAATTTTTGAAATCTCCCATCCAAAACGCCGGGAAGATCGAGCCGGTGGCTACTTGAGCGGTCAGTCTCCTGCATCTGTTATGCCTGCTGCCTCGACCGCGTGACCACCTCGGACTCATCGAGACTGAACTTCGAACCGCCTGTTGGTGTTCGTGTCTCCCCGTCTGTAGCTATGTCCACGTTCCCTCGACGCACTATCAACAACCAGAAGGCAGTCAGTAGGGAACGGAGCGATTTCCCCACTGCGAGAGGGATCTTTTGGATGGATAGTCTGGCGTCGAAGCATTGAGTTTGGCTGGTTGAAAAAGCAGGCCCCTAATACAAGAATAACCTGCTGAACGTTGCTGCTTTTACCATTGTCTCATTCTGTCAACCATCTGTACCGGAAATTCAGGTGGAAAATCCATAGTCAGGCTTGAGTTAGTAGTTTTTACGGGAACTAGGGCCAAGTGCTCTCACAAATTGGTAATTTTCATAAAGATCCGCCAGGGCACCAGCCTCCAGTGGCCTGACCTAGTTGCGGGACACCATTTTCGTTCCGTCCTGTCCATGCCTTGACTCTGTCAGACCAGAGAATGCAACGGGACATCAGCGAGAGGAGCGTTTTCCCACGAGGAGTAGACAGCCACAAGGACATTTTTCGTCTCACTGTTTTCGATCGGCAATGTCCCAATGTCATCCCGGGATTGTTCCGAGTTTGGTTCGAAGTTGTTAGCTCAAGACTGCGATCATATAAATTTCCTTATCTTGGAAGGTGACGTTCAGTAATCTAGCCCGGCCGTTGCGTCCGCTCAGTGACCCTTGTTGACGGTCGCCCAGTTTGGGCTCGCGAGGAGAATGGCACAGTTATGTCCCCCCCCCCCGCTTTTTGATCATACGAACATGACATCGAGCTCCGCCCACGCTATTACGAGGCCGGAAGTTGCAAGAATGACATTTACCAGGGGGTTACTGAGTCAGTGTGCACAAGCGGCTGTTAGCAAGCCCTGACGGAAGTCGACGCGACTAGCACGAGCCGGATGTGCGCTGTAAGGTCATGCCCCTGATTGGTCAGTTAGCAAATGTCAAGGCAGGTGGTCGACGTGTGTGGTCTCGCAGCGTCGACTTGTCTCCGCGGGAACACCCGGGTACTACCACATTGCCACTCCACTGAATACTACTCTCCTCCATGAGTCAGAGCAAGCTGATAGGGAAAAATCGATAAATGATGACTCGGTCACACCTTTTATCGGTGAAGTTAGTAGCATATTACGCCTCCTTGAAATTTCATGGTCAATTAATAGATAAGTTGTGGTTATGTAGCCGCGCCTGATGGACAAAATATTGTTGACCTACTCAATTATTCTGAGTTGGTGTGATTACGTTGGCATGGTGTTGCTGTGCGTTGCAGTGTGCGTTATGTTGGCGGGCATTTTCCTTGTTGCATGTCCACCTTTTTCGGCCCAATGCCGGCGCTTCATCCTGGCATTCGGCCTGTCGTCTCTAACTTTCGCGTTGAATGTTTCAGGGTTTGGGTTTAGGGCTGCGGTTAAGGGTTAGGGTTAGGGCGACTATTTCTCAACCACTCAAAGTACAACCGCGTATTCCCAAAAGCTTTTCGCTTGCATACAATTGACCTCGTCGTCAGTGCGTTCCCCGGCCCCACCTGTAAAAACCCCTACTACCACCAGTCTCGTATTACCGGCGACTAGGGTTTGTTTACCACAGGTGAGGCTACATAACCACATCTGACGGATTAATTAGTATCATCCGGCTTTAGTAAACGCTTTCGATGCCTAATAATCTCTAACCCAACCTGTCGTTATCTGGCATTCAGAATTTCCAAACTACAGGCTACAGTGCATGACCGATCGCATGAAATGTTGGCCGAAATTCTGAAATTCGTTTTCGATTAGGAAGGATTACTTAGGTGAGGTTGTAATATTGATTAGCATGCGGCGTAATCCTATAGCAAGTCGGACTCGCCAGGATGTCAGCTTTTTAATCCACTCCTTCTTGACCTCCTGCAGAGACCGTACTCCGTAAAAAATGGCTACTTATGTAGCATGCATTTTCCCTATTGATTTTCGATGGTCTTATAAATTCAAATATATTTTATAGAAAACGCGCACAAAAATAAGCTTTCTTCTACACTTTTGGTAGAAAATAACATCGTCTTTGCATTTCATGCCCAAAGAAAGAGTATAATTGGGTTTTAAAAAAGTTTATAATTGTGAGCTTTTTAAGACCGTGCGATGTCCATGCATACAGGAGCGCACATGCCCGTTCACCACTGCTCCTCATGAAATGTACAACACAGTTCGGATCAATTGCGAAATTTTATGAACTCTATGTGGTATGTTCTTAAAGACATAGAGGAATATATGATTTTTCTTATGCGGAAAGCATGCACCTTGTTGACTGAAATCGCTGAGCACCGATACAATGGCAGATCAGGCTCAAAATATTCGGGAATTGGGAAACTTTTTTAAAACTCAATTATATTCTTTCTTTGTATATAAAATGCAAAGAAAATGTTATTTTCTACCAAA